CAAAAAAAAAAACAGTCCTCTTGATCACAGATTCAATCAAAAACCTCGTCACGCCAACACTTCATATTATCAACACCCAGTTATTCCCAAAATCCACAACAGCAATTCTGCCACTCGTGGTCAACGCAATCCCCGATGGTCTATCCATCTCCCCATGTCCTTGCCCATAAGTTCCGAATGTCCACTGACGATTGCCGGTAGAATCTAGAACCTGAATGCTATCGTTTTTGGCAGTGTCTAGACACACGGTATATGGTAATTAAAAATGCACCCAAGGAGACGTTTACAATGCATCTAAGGCTTATTTTACTATACGTCTATGGTTTTTACCATGCGTCTATGGTTTTTACCATGCGTCTATGGTTTTTACCATGCGTCTATGAATTTTACCATGGGTCTATGATTTTTATCATACGTCTATGAATTTTACCATGCGTCTATGGTTTTTACGGTGATGTAAGGAAATCTCTAGGGCATATCCCTAGCGGACCTAGTGGAGAGTCCAACTCTCTATTTGTTCCACGATTAGAGAGTAAGTAGAGAATGGGCAGAGAGTTGAGGTGACAGGGCAGATTGTCTACTCTCCAATGCTTTGAGAGAGTAGATAGCTGAGGCGAGGGATATGCTGACCCTTATTAACTATGGCCCTTGAGAAATTTGACCCTTTAACCGACTGACCCTTGTACTTGGAACCTGTTTGAACTCCTNTCCACTGACGATTGCCGGTAGAATCTAGAACCTGAATGCTATCGTTTTTGGCAGTGTCTAGACACACGGTATATGGTAATTAAAAATGCACCCAAGGAGACGTTTACAATGCATCTAAGGCTTATTTTACTATACGTCTATGGTTTTTACCATGCGTCTATGGTTTTTACCATGCGTCTATGGTTTTTACCATGCGTCTATGAATTTTACCATGGGTCTATGATTTTTATCATACGTCTATGAATTTTACCATGCGTCTATGGTTTTTACGGTGATGTAAGGAAATCTCTAGGGCATATCCCTAGCGGACCTAGTGGAGAGTCCAACTCTCTATTTGTTCCACGATTAGAGAGTAAGTAGAGAATGGGCAGAGAGTTGAGGTGACAGGGCAGATTGTCTACTCTCCAATGCTTTGAGAGAGTAGATAGCTGAGGCGAGGGATATGCTGACCCTTATTAACTATGGCCCTTGAGAAATTTGACCCTTTAACCGACTGACCCTTGTACTTGGAACCTGTTTGAACTCCTGGAGCTCAAACTTTTGGACCCTGGAATGTTTTCAGCTGAAAATACTCTGATTTCATTTGAAATATTTGAATTGGATCTTTGTGACCCTTATAATTTTAAACCCTTATTATTCCAGACCCTTAAATTGGGACTCTCAATTATTCTGACCCTTGAAAATATTGAAAAGTGCAACTTTTGACCCTTAGACTAGTCGCACTATCTACTCTACTGTTGTAGAGAGTAGATAGTATGGATCGGATGCGTGGTGAGGGCTACTCTCTACTCTCTACTGGTCTAGAGAGTAGATAGTTGGCGCCGGGTGCTTGGTGGAGGCATTCAGACCCTTATAATTTTAGACCCTTATCGTTGCTTATAGGCCTTGAAACTTGAACCTCAATGGTGCTGACCTTTGAAAATGATAAAAGTTAAATTTTTGACCCTTAATATTTCTGACCCTTAGACTAGCCGTACTATCTACTATCTACTGTTGTAGAGAGTAGATAGTACGACTAGTCTAAGGGTCAGAAATTTTAAGTCTAAAATTTCGCTCTAAACATGTTCAAGGGTCAGCACCATTTAGGGTCAAATTGTTAGGGTCATGAAGAACGATAAGGGTCTAAAAAATAAGGGTCTGAATGTCCCCACCTCGCACCTCCCGCCAAATATCTACTCTCTAGATGCGTAGAGAGTAGAGAGTGGCCCCCACCACGCATCCGATCCCAACTATCTACTCTCTACAACAGTAGAGAGTATATAGTACGGCTAGTCTAAGGGTCAGAAATATTAAGGGTTACAAATTTAACTGTTATCATTTTCAAGGATCAGCATTATTGAGGGTCAAGTTTCACGGGTCATGAGAAATGATAAGGGTCTCAAAAATAAGGGTCTGAATGCCCCCACCAAGCACCTACCGCCAACTATCTACTCTCTAGATGAGAAGAGAGTAGCGCCCACCACGCATCCANTTAGGGTCAAATTGTTAGGGTCATGAAGAACGATAAGGGTCTAAAAAATAAGGGTCTGAATGTCCCCACCTCGCACCTCCCGCCAAATATCTACTCTCTAGATGCGTAGAGAGTAGAGAGTGGCCCCCACCACGCATCCGATCCCAACTATCTACTCTCTACAACAGTAGAGAGTATATAGTACGGCTAGTCTAAGGGTCAGAAATATTAAGGGTTACAAATTTAACTGTTATCATTTTCAAGGATCAGCATTATTGAGGGTCAAGTTTCACGGGTCATGAGAAATGATAAGGGTCTCAAAAATAAGGGTCTGAATGCCCCCACCAAGCACCTACCGCCAACTATCTACTCTCTAGATGAGAAGAGAGTAGCCCCCACCACGCATCCAATCCCAACTATCTACTCTCTACAACAGTAGAGAGTAGATAGTACGACTAGTCTAAGGGTCAGATATTTTAAGAGTCTAAAATTTCACTCTATACATGTTCAAGGGTCTGCACCATTTAGGTTCAAATTTTTAGGGTCATGAGGAATGATGAGGGTCTAAAGAAAATAAGGGTCTGAATGCCCCCACCTCGCACCTACCGTCAACTATCTACTCTCTAGACGCATAGAGAGTAGAGAGTAGCCCCCTCCACGCATCCGCTCTCAACTATCTGCTCTCTAGAACAGTAGATAGTAGATAGTACGGCTAGTCCAAGGGTCAGAAATATTAACGGTCAAAAATTTAACTTTTATCATTTTCAAGGGTCAGCACCATTGAGATTCAAGTTTCAAGGCCCATAAGCAACGATAAGGGTCTAAAATTATAAGGGTCTGAATGCCTCCACCAAGCACCTGGCGCCAACTATCTACTCTCTAGACGAGTAGAAAGTAGTCCCCACCACGCATCCGATCCCAGCTATCTACTCTCTACAAGAGTAGAGAGTAGATGGTACGACTAGTCTAAGGGTCTGAAGGTTTAAGCGTCAAAAGATGCACTTTTCAATATTTTCAAGGGTCAGAATCATTGAGAGTCCCAATTTAAGGGTCTGGAATATGAAATTATAAGGGTCACAAAGATCAAATCAGAGTATTTTCAGCTGAAAACATTCCAGGGTCCAAAAGTTTGAGCTCCGGGAGTTCAAACAGGTCCCAAGTACAAGGGTCAGTCGGTTATAGGGTCAAATTTCTCAAGGGCCATAGTTAATAAGGGTCAGCATATCCCTCGCCTCAGCTATCTACTCTCTCAAAGCATTGGAGAGTAGACAATCTGCCCTGTCACCCCAACTCTCTACCCATTCTCTACTTACTCTCTAATCGTGGAATAAATAGAGAGTTGGACTCTCCACTGGGTCCGCTAGGGATATGCCCTAGACATTTCCTTACATCACCGTAAAAACCATAGACGCATGGTAAAATTCATAGACGTATGATAAAAACCATGGACGCATCGTAAAATTCATAGACGCATGGTAAAAACCATAGACGTATAGTAAAATAAGCCTTAGATGCATTGTGAACGTTTCCTTGGGTGCATTGTAATTGCCATATACCGTGTGTCGAGACACTGCCAAAAACTATAGCATCCAGGTTCTAGACTCTACCGGCAATCGTCAGTGGACATTCGGAACTTATGGGCAAGGACATGGGGAGATGATCGGAGTAGAATCAATCCACGATCTATCATGATTTAATTTCCCATTCGACTTACTCGGCTCCATACCTGTAAAAAAAATAATTAACATTAGTAAATATTTCCTTGGACAGTATGAGACACTGATACTTTCGTCTATTAAAAATTTAATTGCAGTAATGTTCAATTTCAATAACAAAAGGTAAATTTCATGAATGATCTGATGCCAGAAATGGAATCCAAATTCAAAAATATTCAAAAGTATTTCTTTTTCCAATGTCTGAATGCTGAAGATGACAAATTTTATAATAAATCAGTAAGAAACTAAAAATTAGCTGGTCTTCGAATTTTCAATTAATTTCCAATGAAAAACGTCATTTTATGTATGTGAAAATTGAGAACTAAAATCTTACATTGGATTGGAGTAGAGATAAGAAAAATATATTGTTAATTTTCGGTTAAAATTTGGCGTTATCGATCTCACCTCGATTTATTTATCGCATTGAAATTGAGTCCACTATTGGATTAAATTCATCCTTAGTCTTTCTCACAATCAGTAGATTCTGTCTCGTCGAACCTGTAAAATAAAATAGCATTTTCATTTTACACTTTACAATTAATTATAAAATAAAATTAATGAGGCATTTATCCCCGGAAAGAGTGAGTTTAAGAGGAAGTTTGAGGGGAACTTTTTTGCAACTAAAAAAATGTCCAATTTGGAATTATTTTCGACATTTTCACTTATCATCACTCATTATCAAGATAATTTTACAATCGACAAATTACCTTTTTTTTCTGCTCCGAAATAGCGGTTCATTTTATATTTGTNCTCTCTCAAAGCATTGGAGAGTAGACAATCTGCCCTGTCACCCCAACTCTCTACCCATTCTCTACTTACTCTCTAATCGTGGAATAAATAGAGAGTTGGACTCTCCACTGGGTCCGCTAGGGATATGCCCTAGACATTTCCTTACATCACCGTAAAAACCATAGACGCATGGTAAAATTCATAGACGTATGATAAAAACCATGGACGCATCGTAAAATTCATAGACGCATGGTAAAAACCATAGACGTATAGTAAAATAAGCCTTAGATGCATTGTGAACGTTTCCTTGGGTGCATTGTAATTGCCATATACCGTGTGTCGAGACACTGCCAAAAACTATAGCATCCAGGTTCTAGACTCTACCGGCAATCGTCAGTGGACATTCGGAACTTATGGGCAAGGACATGGGGAGATGATCGGAGTAGAATCAATCCACGATCTATCATGATTTAATTTCCCATTCGACTTACTCGGCTCCATACCTGTAAAAAAAATAATTAACATTAGTAAATATTTCCTTGGACAGTATGAGACACTGATACTTTCGTCTATTAAAAATTTAATTGCAGTAATGTTCAATTTCAATAACAAAAGGTAAATTTCATGAATGATCTGATGCCAGAAATGGAATCCAAATTCAAAAATATTCAAAAGTATTTCTTTTTCCAATGTCTGAATGCTGAAGATGACAAATTTTATAATAAATCAGTAAGAAACTAAAAATTAGCTGGTCTTCGAATTTTCAATTAATTTCCAATGAAAAACGTCATTTTATGTATGTGAAAATTGACAACTAAAATCTTACATTGGATTGGAGTAGAGATAAGAAAAATATATTGTAAATTTTCGGTTAAAATTTGGCGTTATCGATCTCACCTCGATTTATTTATCGCATTGAAATTGAGTCCACTATTGGATTAAATTCATCCTTAGTCTTTCTCACAATCAGTAGATTCTGTCTCGTTGAACCTGTAAAATAAAATAGCATTTTCATTTTACACTTTACAATTAATTATAAAATAAAATTAATGAGGCATTTATCCCCGGAAAGAGTGAGTTTAAGAGGAAGTTTGAGGGGAACTTTTTTGCAACTAAAAAAATGTCCAATTTGGAATTATTTTCGACATTTTCACTTATCATCACTCATTATCAAGATAATTTTACAATCGACAAATTACCTTTTTTTTCTGCTCCGAAATAGCGGTTCATTTTATATTTGTTTTTTTTTCCAATGATTTTTTTTTTGCAAAATATAATTTGTTATTTTTTCCTTCGTCGTCTCATCTTTTTTTTAGATTCACTTGCAGTAAAAAAAATGCAATTTTCTCATTCACAGCAAACCAATTGTTTACTTTTTTTATTATCATTATTGAGGCTAACACTGATGTCGTCGAAATTGAGTATTGAAAATCCGCCCGATTCACATGTTTCTTCCCCACTCCACGTCATCGCTGAAGCATGAACTGAAATAACAAAGGCACGAACCCACCCATTCATTTCTGGCCTATACTCCGTGCAACACTGCTTTCCGTAACCCAATTTCAACTCGGTTACGAACTTTAGTTGACGAGTGTACAATCCCTCTGGTATAAACGACCTCCTTCCCCTGAGAAATGTTCACTTATGAATAATTAGCTTGATTTTGAGACTCAGTCATTTTTGCAATTGATCGCCATCCAATTTTCCATACGATGACTGATTTATTTTTGGAAAAAATTAGCACCCCCCCGTTGACAGGGGCTGGTAAAAAAATAATTTTGTTTAAACAAAGCATACCAAAGAACTAAAAACATTCCGTCATGATTCGCCATCGAATTGCCTGGCTATACCAAGTTGGATTTTTTTATTACCTCCGAACCTCCCGCAAACGGTGGCGAGCTCTCTTTGTCACCTACGCCGATTGATTTTCCTCTCATTTTCAATGGGGCCCTCCAATGCAGTTTGACTTCCTTCCCTCTATTCTTCATAGTCTATGTTTGTTTTGGCTAAATCATGAAGCTAAAATGGACATAACCTCGAAAATCCAGTTGAATTTTATCATGGCGATGATTATCGATGGCCGTGTTTTTTCCAAAACTTTACGAAATTGATTGTTTGATTTTTTGTAAAATTTTGCAAATTTATCGTTAAAGAGGAACAACATTATAGTTACTTTCTCTGGCTTTTCACCAACTTCAAAAATGTCCGAACGTAAAGTTTTGAACGTAAGTACATTGAACAAGAATTTTTGCGAATTTCCTATACAATCTAGAAGTTTCTATTTGTTTCCCGTATCATTTAATAACTCGGAGTTAAAAGAAAGGAAAATGGCCCTTCCTCAATTCTCAAGGGCGCACCGTCGATTGCTCGAAAGAATGAAAGTAATCACATAGCAGAGGGTAGGACAACATGGACATTGTTTAATGTTTGTAACTACGCAATATATTCATTAATTAAGCTCAGTCTGGCCTCATCAGGAAAACGGAAAATTCTATTTTAGAAGGAAAAAAAGCCTAACGCCGTGTTTTGAACAGTTTAATGAATTATTGACCTTTTAAAAAATGGAAAAAGTCCATATTGCCCTACTCTCCCCTAAAAGTGATCACAAGAGCAAAATTCAGTGGTAACTCAAATACGGAAACTTTCCGTAGGATTTGATTAAATTGATTAATATTCTATTGAGTTCTAAAGAGAATAAGACCATTTTTCCACTAGATTAAGAATTTGTTCTATGATTAATATATAAATAAGTTCAATTAATGGACAAGTTCAACCCGCCTGAACTGGCGTTCGGTGCCCACCCGAATTAAATCCACTGGCTCGGTGAGCAACGTGCCGCCCGTGTTACGGTTAGCGCGGTGTTGCCACATTGGAGCCCTATACGTGAATAACAATCTACACTGCACACATTTTCCTCGAATTAAACACCATTTATGCTCTAAAAAAAAAATTCGCTTTTTTTATGAGACGCCAAACACGGCACGTGATAGAGATGTTGACGTTCCCAGTATGTCTGAACTGAAACGAACGGCGTGGCAACAGCGCGGCTAAAAACCGACTACACGAGTCCACTAGCTCCGGGCGGCGAGGCGTCGCCTTTCGCCTAAATTATTATTTTTCATGGTATTCATGGGGTTTTCAAGGGCTAGGAATCTTACCAGTCCATTCTGGAGGGTTTAAACTAGGCATTGTAATTTTTACCAATTTTTTTATACATAATTTTGCATGCAACAAGAAAAAAATCGAGAAAAGGTGGCGCTTTGCTCATTGAGCCAGTTCAGGAGGGTTAACCTTTACACCGAATCCTTAAAAAAAATACACGTTTACCATACCCCGTTCCCTGTCAGACCGTTATTTCATCTGGATCGCATTTGTCGTTTGATTGAGCGAATGATTCAATACTTTTTATAACAGAAGCTTCAAATGAGGGCTAAAACGGGGTAAGGTCAAACAAGAGAGGGTTATACAATGGAAAGGTCAAAAGGGATGGGTTGAACAGAAGAAGCAAATAGTGTGAGTGTAATCTTTTATTAAATTTATTTTTTTTCTTCGCACATAAATATTTGTTCGGCACATTTTTTCACATAAATTGTGCGTGTTAATCTTTCATTCTCGAATCAATAAAAACATGGCGTTCATTCTGAATAATTGGTGCTAATTATTATTTTTTATCAATTGCCTCAGTGAATAAATTAGAAGAAATATTGGTGGTTTTATGGATCTATGAAGGTGAAAAAAATTAAAAACGTGTTGTATTGATTGGAACTGATGGAATAGAAAGCTACTGAAAGTTTAACATTTTTTCTTACATTATTAGCAATATCAATAGTTATACATTGCGAAAGCTTTGATGGCGGTCGCCAGGGATGGGAAAATTGAGAATTTGGCGTTCCTGAATATTAAATTACATTTTTCTTTCGTAATCTAAGAAAAATAATTGGAGATTACAATTAAGTATCAAGTTGTATATCAGTGACCCTTAATCCTTTGAAATTTATAATTCTTCTGAATCAATTGAGAAATACATGAGTTTTTATTAGCACTAATCGCAAATTACCAAAATATTTGAAGGAATTTTCAATGACCTCTGCTAACTATCAGCGATAGAAATAATCTAATGAAATGCCATCGGAGAATACTCGACTAACCGGGAATTTGCTTTCTCAGATTACAGATTATTGAATAATAAATATTCACAATACCGAATTACTGGAATGGGCAAGTAATTTTATATGGTAGTTCTCCAAATTACATGGGTAATTTGGAATCTGACTTCGACGATTTTCCAATTAGCTAAATAATTCATTCGTTATTTCCCAATTACTTAATTGACGGGTGTTGGGTTCGGGTGAATTGGGGTTTATTTAGTATCATAAACAAAACAAAACACAACTCAACCTCGTAGCCACTAAAATAATATTTTTATTTAGTGGATACTTTCAACTTTGAAATGCTAGGTACATCTGCACTTACCATATCGTCTTTGTCACTGCTTCCATCAGAAATCAGTTTTTATGTTGATCAAATGGGAAATAATTGGGTTTAGACTCGAAAATGAAAAGAAATCAAATGATGATGGAAGAAAATTTAATGACAGATATCAAAGGTTTGAATACAGTTAGGAATTTGACAACTGAATTTAGCAGAGCAAGAGAGAGATCAATTTAATGAGTTTACCTAATTTACACTAATTTGGAGTCAAGGCCAAAATAATTATGATGTGTGGAATTCCGTACTAACCATTATACATAATCCAGAAATGATTTCGCTATCACAATTGAGGTAGGTTCACTGAGTCGCATTTATGATACATATGCACTCCATAATTGTTTCACTGTATTTGTACAGAATTTGGTTACTTAGTCCAATAACGTTTATAATAATTATCTCCAAAGAGTCCTTTTGTTGATTACTCGTAATGGGAAATCTTGTAGTCCATCAGCCGATTCATCGAACAAAAGCAATTTCACTGCTTATTAACTATGCGGGATTTGACACTACGAAGTTGGGCGTAGTTGTCTCCAATTATCACTTTCGATACTCAAGTATCCGCGTAAGCACCGGGTAGAAGACTTTTAACTGATTCCGGAAATAAGTACGACGAATCTTGAGGAGTTCGCCCTTTGGTATAATCGTTTTCGATGCTAGGACGAGACTGACTTCACCTTCCGGGATTTTCGACTGGTGCCCGTGGACACGTCAGTTGCACGAGTTCAATGCCCAAAGCGGAAGTGTTCCGATGCTGATACATCGTTTCGAAACCTCCGCCTTGTTCATCAGATTCTGTCGATGAGGCCACGTTTGAGATTGGGGAATCGAAGCGTTTTGCTTGCTCGATTTTCCAGAATATTCTTTTGAAGAAGAAAAAATTTTTAATTTGATGAAAATTATTTGAGTATAAAATAGCATATTTTCAAACACGATACGGGATGATTTACTTTAATATTTCCAAATTCCCTTCTGTAATTTGGAATTGGAATAATCACACAGAGAAAAAAAAAAGTAAATTGAAGATTTTTTTTTCTACTTTCTGCAATCTGCAGTTTAGAACTTGCATCCGGCTAAAATCTAGAAAAAAAAACAATTAATTTCAGAAAATAAATAAATGAAATTAATCAATGAAAAAATGATGGTTTCAAGGCAAAAATATTCTGGAATCTATCGAATTGAGGGATTAAGTTCCCCTCTTTAGCACATTTTCAAAATGAAAGATATTTTGAGAATTTTGAATTGAACGTTTGAAAAAATGGAAAAAAATTGTCCTAAAATGATGACGCTGAAGTTAGCAGCCGACTTGGCAGCGAAAGTTCAGGGCCGTAGCAAGGATCTGTGGGGCCCCATACCTTAATACGAAAACTGAAAATTGTTCCTATTTAAGTTCTAAATTCCGAAATGATCTGGAACAGCCTCCCCATTCTCCACAATATGATCAGCCCCCTTTGTTCAGGCCAAGGGGGTGGTAGGGAGATGAAAATCTCAATTTTTGTCTTTTTTTTGTGGAAGAAAAAATTTCTGCAACATAAATAGCCAGAACCACCAGCACATTGTTATAAAAAAAGATTAAACGAAACACCCTCGACCCCCAGGAAAATGATCAAGCCTTTCAGATTGGTCCAAGGGGGTGCTAGGGGGTGGAGAAATGAAATCTTCGCGTTTTTCAGGGGGAAAAAAATTCTCCGACTCATAATAAAAAAAACCACAAACAAATGTTAATGGAAAAATACTCAGTGCAACTCCCCCTACCCCCAGAAAAATCATCAAGTCTTTCAGAGTGGACCAAGAGGGTGCTAGGGGGTGAAAAAATTAAATTTTCGCGTTTTTCGGGCGAAAAAAAAATCGACTAATAATACACAAAACCACCAATAAATATTGATGAAAAAATACTCAGCGCAACTCCCTCAACCCTCAGCAAAATTATCAAGTCTCTCAGACTGGTCCACGGGGGTGCTAGGGGGTGGAAAAATAAAATTTTCGCGTTTCTCGGGCGAAAAAAAAATCTCCGACTAATAATACGCAAAACCACCAATAAATATTGATGAAAAAATACTCAGCGCAACTCCCTCAACCCTCAGCAAAATTATCAAGTCTCTCAGACTGGTCCAAGGGGGTGCTAGGGGGTGGAAAAATGAAATTTTCGCGTTTTTCAGGGGGAAAAAAAAATCTCCAACTAATAATAAGCAAAACCACCAATAAACATTGATGAGCAAATATTCAGCGCAACTCCCTCAACCCCCAGAAAAATCATCAAGTCTCTCAGGCTGGTCCAAGGGGGTGCTAGGGGGTAGAAAAATGAAATTTTCGCGTTTTTCGGGGGGAAAAAAAAATCTCCGACTAATAATATGCAAAACCACCAACAAATGTTAATGAAAAAATACTCAGCGCAACTCATTCAACCCCCAGGAAAATCATCAAGTCTCTCCGATTGGTCCAAGAAGGTACTAGGGGGTGGAAAAATGAAATTTTCGCGTTTGTCGGGGGGAAAAAAATTTCCGACTCATAACAAGCAAAACTACCAACAAATGTTAATGAAAAAATAGTGCAACTCCCCCTACCCCCAGATTCATTTTTCTACCCCCTAGCATCCCCTTGGACCAGTGTGAGAGACTTGATGATTTTTCTGGGGGTAGGGGGAGTTGCACTGAGTATTTTCCCATCAACAGTTGTTGGTGGTTTTGCTTATTTTGAGTCGGAGATTTTTTTTCCCCCTGTAAACGCGAAAATTTCA